CTCATGATCCCTCCATTAAAGTTTATATGTACCTTTGACATTGTTATCGTACTTTTGACAATGCACAGTTTCTTTATGTGGCTAGTATATATTCCAAGTGATCAAGTGAAAAGTCTTTTCACTAATGTTATTAATTTCTTTGACAAAATTCCAAACATCAAAGACGATATTGCTGGTGGGAAGATCCATAACGCTTTTTTATCCTGCAATATATGGATAAGGAATGAATATAAATTATTATACAAGGATTAGCCTAACGTAAAATGACTTTGATTAATATTTGGAGGCAATGGGACCCATTTTGCACGCAGGAAACGTTACTCTTGGAAACGCAACATTAAGACACATTACCGTAACGCCTTCTGGCTCATGTCCACTTTGGAGAAGGTGTTTATTTTCAAATGATATAAAGCCAAGCCCTAAAGTTTACACGTCAACAATATGAGGACAAGTTTTAAGGTGGTTACTGAACGAGTTTTATGACATCTCATGGTCACATACACGAGCAGCGAGTTTGAGTTTGGTTTTACGCCGCTTTGTTATCTCATGGCTAGGCACTGCATACACGACCAGCGTTATGAATACAAATACAGAACTCTCTAAATACAAACATAAAGGTGGATTGGATAAAGATAGAAATTTGATAAACGATACGGTAATAATTGACGATCTACTCAAAGACAAGTCAGATAAAGATTTATAAGATGAAAGTGAGAAGTTATAGGTCTGAAAAAAGGTCAAATCTTGGGGAAAAACGGTTGTTACCATTTCCGACTTTTACTCGAGTGTTTTAGGATTTTAATTGAGTGATATTCGTGAGGCGACTTTATTAGTACTGAATCAAGAACACATCCTTGTGATATATCGTATAATGGAAGGAAATCGTATAATTTACTGTGCTATCAGTACGAATTCTTATGAATATGGATATTGTTTCAGTCACTGTTAATTTATTAAGCACCTTGATGACACCAGGTGTTCGCGAAAAGGGGAATCTATTCTGCCCAGACGACCCGTCATACACACATGCAAGTCAACTGAACAGTTGAACAGACACGGGGACAATGACAACCGTGAAATTATGGAATCGCTTCTGACGCCATTATCACAAATGGTGCGTCGCATTTGGAATTGACCTCCAAGATGACATGTACCGTAACAGGGAAGCTTTATTAAAGCCTTGAAATCTAGATCTGGACTAGAATTGATCTTCACCAATCCATGCTTGTCGTAATACACTCTTTATTTAGATGTACAGCCTTTGAAACAGAATGGCGTTTTAATATTAATGAATTCTATTTTAAATGGTCAAATATGTACAAATATAAAGTTTAATCTGCACAAGAAAAATGTCAGAATCGAAGAATCTGTCTTAATATTTACATATTGTTTTTGAAAAGTTAAAATAACCTATGCTCTTGATATCACCATTCTTGTCTGTTTATGTAATATATGTATATTTTTATTCTCTTGTACCACCGTGGGTGGTTTTTGAGAAAATAAACTTGACTTGACTTGGGATCATTCTCGCTGCCTTGGCTGACACGTGTCATCGTATCCCAATTGTGTAGATCGATACTCATGATTGTCTGGTCCAGACTAGATTATTAACAGACCGCCGCCAGATAGCTGGAATATTGCTGAGTGCGGCGTAAAACAATAAAACAAAACAAACATAGCCTTGAATTCATCTGTATGAACATAACCATAAAACACATGTGTATAATTATATGGAATGTGTTAGTATCTTGTGTGAAACTGAAGGTTTGTTTTTAAAAGAGCCTTTGTATTTTTTCAGGTCCAAGACAAAGAAGTTAGACCAGGATGATTGAAACAGACCTGTTGAAATTTGGAAGTTGCAACGTATTTAAACAGGTGGTGGATGTTTTGTTTTCTGTTTTGTTTCCCGGTTGTGTTTTATATATACATTTATAATATTTGCAAGGGTAAAGTACACTTGTCACAGTCTATTAGATTCGTAAGTGTCCACGTCTCTGTATCCTAGTGGGTGTAACTAATGACAATAGGTTATTCCACCTTTAGCGCAAATAAAGAATATTTCCCGGTTGTGTTGTATATATACATTTATAATATACTCATGCCAATAATGGTTGTCATCCCCCCTCCTCACCCCAGCCCCACACACCCCACACACCCCCTCCAATAAAACAAATTGAAGGGGTGACAACCATTATTGACATGAGTATATTTGAAAGGGTAAGTACACTTGTCACAGTCTATTAGATTCGTAAGTATCAACGTCTCAGTATCCTAGTGGGTGTAACTAATGACAATAGGTTATTCCACCTTTAGCGCAAATAAAGAATATTTCCCAGTTGTGTTGTATATATACATTTATAATATACTCATGCCAATAATGGTTGTCATCCCCCCTCCTCACCCCAGCCCACACCCCCCACCACACCCCTCTCCAATAAAACAAATTGAAGGGGTGACAACCAAATATTGACATGAGTATATTTGAAAGGGTAAGTACACTTGTTTCAGTCTTTTAGATTCGTAAGTATCAACGTCTCGGTATCCTAGTGAGTGTAAACTAATGACAATAGGTTATTCCACCTTTAAGCGCAAATAAAGAATATTTCCCGTTGTTGTATTCGTATATATACATTTATAATATACTCATGCCAATAATGGTTGTCATCCCCTCCTCACCCCAGCCCCACACACACCCCACCACACACCCTCTCCAATAAAACAAATTGAAGGGGGTGACAACCATTATTGACATGAGTATATTTGAAAGGGTAAGTACACTTGTTTCAGTCTTTTAGATTCGTAAGTATCAACGTCTCGGTATCCTAGTGAGTGTAACTAATGACAATAGGTTATTCCACCTTTAGCGCAAATAAAGAATATTTCCCGGTTGTGTTGTATATATACATTTATAATATACTCATGCCAATAATGGTTGTCATCCCCTCCTCACCCCAGCCCCACCTCCACACCACACCACCCCTCTCAATAAAACAAATTGAAGGGGGTGACAACCATTATTGACATGAGTATATTTGAAAGGGTAAGTACACTTGTTTCAGTCTTTTAGATTCGTAAGTATCAACGTCTCGGTATCCTAGTGAGTGCAACTAATGACAATAGGTTATTCCACCTTTAGCGCAAATAAAGAATATTTCCCGGTTGTGTTGTATATATACATTTATAATATACTCATGCCAATAATGGTTGTCATCCCCCTCCTCACCCCAGCCCCACACACCCCCACACCACACCCCCTCTCCAATAAAACAAATTGAAGGGGGTGACAACCATTATTGACATGAGTATATTTGAAAGGGTAAGTACACTTGTTTCAGTCTTTTAGATTCGTAAGTATCAACGTCTCGGTATCCTAGTGAGTGCAACTAATGACAATAGGTTATTCCACCTTTAGCGCAAATAAAGAATATTTCCCGGTTGTGTTTTATATTTACATTTATAATATACTCATGCCAATAATGGTTGTCATCCCCCTCCCCCAGCCCCAACCCCACACCCCCTCTCCAATAAAAAAATTGAAGGGCGTGACAACCATTATTGACATGAGTATATTTGAAAGGGTAAGTACACTTGTTTCAGTTTTTTAGATTCGTAAGTATCAACGTCTTACGTGACAATAGGTTATTCCACCTTTAGCGCAAATAAAGAATACACTAAACAAACTTCAAATGTTCCTTATGTTCTAAACAGTGAGTGAGTTGAGTTTTACGCCGCACTCAGCAATATTACAGCTATATGGCGGCAGTCTGTAAATAATCGAGTCTGGACCAGACAATCCAGTGATCAACATCATGAGCATCGATCTACGTAATTGGGATACGATAGCATGTGTTAACCCAGTCAGCGAGCCTGACTACCAGATCACGTTAGTCGCCTCCTACGACAAGCATGGGTTACTGAAGACCAATTCTAACCCGGATCTTCACGGGTTGCAATTGTTCTAAACAAACCCTACAGAACAAAGTGTGTTGCTAGTGTGTAAATCTGGTTTATGGACGTAATGTGCGTACATTAAAACAGGATTAGGTATTAAGGTGCGCTTGGTGAACCCTCCACCCTCATCAGCAGCACAATGGGATCACTTCTTGATATCACAGGGACTATATTGTAGCCATCTATCTGTATTGGAACTTCAGCACCGCGCATTATATAGGAAAGCGCCCGTAAAATCTCCAAATCATTACAATCATTTACCTGCAACATTATTGCAATGGTGAATTTACTTGTGGCAGAACCTCATACATCATCCACGAGGTGGTCCACATGCTTACCATGTTCGATGGGATTGAGGTCAGCTGGTCTCGATGGCCACTCCATGACGTCAATATCCGCATTTTGCAGGACATTTACTGTCATTTAACCATCTGTATGTGACGTAGACGTTCATTAAGGTTTACTTTGTCAGAATCGGCACAACATAAGGACGTCGGGCACGAAGATGGTCAAGCCAGATGTAAGCTGCCTCTTAGACAGTACGTTACTGGTTGACGTTGCGGTTGTAAATTGATTACCCAAATGACGTAGCCGAATTTGATTGTCCTCGGCATTTGACGTCACCTGTGGCGATCTTCACCTCGGGCCCGTAACGGCGTTTGTTGCACACGTGCACTACTGCATCTCATGACATATCCAACAGCCACGACAGGCCAGCCTGGAGCATGTCAATTGCATGTTCACCTTCAACATTTGTAAGGCGTGGCATGAATATTGTTATTCTCTCAAGGAATCTTAACGTGTTTTATTTAATCACCACCACATTCTGCACAGGTGTTGGCGGTTAGGCAGATGCCATAGGTTCGTTAATCCGAACCCCCAGCTTTCAGGACATTTCCGGTTTGGGATGTCAGTACTACGTCAAAGGGGCATTATAACTTACTATAGATTTTGCTTGGGGCGGTACCTTCCTGATTAACAACGTCACACACACACACGCACGCACGCACGCACGCGCGCGCACGCACATACATAAACAAACAAGACAATTGAAAAAAAGACATATTTATTAACACGATCAGGGTATATATGGCACAATTTTCTTAAAACTATATTACCGAGATACTAATACGATGTGTCGAACGTACGGTAGTGTCGAAGTAAACACTTGTGCCTGTTTACCCCACTTTGGGTTGAACCTCGGATAACTCCAAGACCTTACGTAGCTCCCTTCAACTTCGACACACATCGGTGGTTGACAGCAGTTAGGTTGTGTAAGTGCACTTGGTCACCGGTGACTTCCTGTTATGTTTAATATTCAGTATCAAAGGGAGTGAGTGAGTATGGTTTTACGCCGCTTTTAGCAATAGTCCAGCAATATCACGGCGGGGGACACCAGAAATGGGCTTCACACATTGTACAAATGTGGGGAATTGAACCCGGGTCTTTAGCGTGACGAGCGAACGCTTTAACCATTAGGCTACCCCACCACCCCGTATCGAAGAGAGTTGGGATGGGAATGAGGTAGGGGTGGCGATGAGGGTGTGTATTTCTTGGTATAAAGATATCAAACATTGCATTCGTGTATATATACCAATTCACAATAAAGTAACAATCAATATACATATATTTATATGTTTACAACAATGTACAGGCGAGTAGAAAATATATATATCTTCTAGTGTCGTATTTTACGATTAGGCATATTAAGAACATAATATAACATTTCTATAAGTCGCTTAAGGCACTCCGCTTGTCTCGAAGGACGGGTTGTTCGAAAACTATTTTTAAAACTTCGAGTCGAGGTTTCACAGTACAATAAGCAGTTTGTGCGAGCATACATGTCTTCCTGGGTGACCCACGTCTTCACACAGACACCAACAGACCAACCATGGCAAACGCAAAGGCAGACGCCACGCAAATGTGAGCACACAAGACGATGAGCATCTTCGTAGCATGCTGAAACAGACATTCTCATTATTAGGGAGGCAGGGAGTTACGTATTACGCCGCTTTTAACAATATTCCAGCAATATCACGGCGGGGGACACCAGAAATGGGCTTCACACATTGCAACCATGTGGGGAATCGAATCCGGGCCTTCGACGTGACGAGTGAACGCTTGAACCTCTAGGCTACCCCCAACGCCCCTTATTATTTAGGACTGGTGTGCGTGCGTAGTATGTATGTGTGTGTGTGTGTGTGTGTGTGTGTGTGTGTGTGTGTGTGTGTGTGTGTGTGTGTGTGTGTGTGTGTGTGTGTGTGTGTGTGTGTGTGTGTGTGTGTGTGTGTGTGTGTGTGTGTGTATGTATGTATGTATCTTTAGTAATGATAACCTACAAATTATTCCTATAAAATGTTCAGTATTTTGTCATTTATTTTCATGCCTCTTTAACTAACAGAACACTTATTATCAACCAAAACATTTTGTTATCATTTTCCTCCTTTTGAGATCTTCCTCTGTAGATGATCAGGAAAACTACAAACACACAAGACCCGTGAAGATCCGGGTTAGAATTGATCTAACGGGATCGGGTGGTCAGACTCGCTGACTTGGTTGACGCATGTCATCGTATCCCATTTGCGTAGAACGATACAAGTGGTTTATCATGATCACAGGATTGTATGGTCCAGATTCGATTATTTACAGACTGCACCCATATATAGCTGGAATAAAGTGGGGCGTTAAACAAACAAACAAACAAAGCACACACACACACACACACAGTCACACACACACACGTAATATAAGGTAATATCGATGGTCATAGCTCACCTGTGGCTTTGATGGAGCCTCCTGAGCTATCGTAAGGCCCATGTTGTTCACCCGCTCCTTTTCTGTGAAAGAAACGTTCAACATATGAACAAGGCACAGGGGCTCACCATGTGCTACACTTGTTGAATGAAAAGTGTTTGGTAAACTATATATAAGCTGGGAAAATCGCATCATCTACGTTGAAACTTACTTTCCCATTATTATTTTCAGGGACCACTTGCACAAAGCGGTGTTAGCGGTACGACTGTCTTAAGCCTACCTTACAGCTGGTAATTTGTATATTCTTAGCGTTAAAATAGCTTTGTGTAAGCGGATCCTGGAGAGGTTGCCGTGTGACGAACAAAATTGTAGCTATAGAATATAAAGAATGAGTTAGAATTGTGAAATATTAGTTGCTTTGACTGTCAAGGTATCAGATATGTGGCAATTTGGTTTCAAACGCCGATGAAGGATGGTTCACAGCATGCCTGCTGAGCTTCACAGGTAAACAAATACATGTACTCTGAGAACAGGTGAACAGTTTGCAACCGATCAGTAAAACAACGGCGACCGGCGATTCATATCGACGAAAATCAGATACAGATGCGTAAATACAGAGACCAAAACAGTCCCCAAAGCTTTACATCTACAGGTAAAAAGGTGCAGCGCATAAAAAAGCCTGGTTCCCAGCGTATGTTGCGCCTGCGCTAACGCTCCGACACTTGGCGTTAGCGCAGGCGCAACAGACCCCGGGAACCAGGCTGACCATAAAATTCCTGAGTGCAGAGGTAGACATCAAACAAAACTGAGTTATCAGTATAATAAATTTTAATTAGTAATAATAAGTATTATAAACAATAAAAACGTTTATTTTATTCCACTCAATCTTTGACTCTTCGTGAAGTATGTATTGAGGGAAATGACATGGCCACACTTACCCTTGTTTTCTGACATGCACCTGATGATCTCCAGACTTGCCTCGACAAGCACCTGCCACACGAGGAAACCTACGAGGATGAAGCGCATGTAGTCGGGGGCGTTGGCCTTGGTCATCGTCATACCCAAAAATATAGTCACCGCTGAAACAAAAAACAGGAAAGTCTTGACGCTCTGACGCATTCGACACCACTCACACCTGTATGCTGTGATGGCGTTCGGTCTGTACAGGAATGACAATATTAGTCGTGAGGGGATTGAAATACTGATACCCGTGAAGGTCCGGGTTAGAATGAACCTTCAGCAACCCATGCTTGTCGTAAGAGGCGATTAACGGGATCGGATAGTCAGGCTCGCTGACTTGATTGACACATGTCATCGGTTCCCATTTGCGTAGATCGATGCTCATTTGATTGATCACTGGATTGTCTGGCCCAGACACGATTATTTACAGACGGCCGCCATATAGCTGGAATATTGCTGAGTGCGGCGTTAAACAACAAACAAACAATCTAATATTGTTATCAAATATGGTTTTAACTTTAACCGCACATATGTTTCCATGGCGATCTTTGGTAATTATAGGACAAAACGGACAAACGGATTCTCCTTTCCATGCTGCTTTCTCTGTGAACGGGTTGTTTTGTTAAATTGGACACTGTTTCACTTTCAGACATCTGGTAATTTATAGTCACAGTAAAATGATTACGTAAATCTTGAACAGTTAGATACATATAAATGAACTGTTGCTCGAAAAAAATTGCCGCTGGAGCGTTTCTTTAGCTTAAACCATCAACTTCGGGGGGTGGGGGTGTGATCGGTCTCAGTTATTGACCTAAACAAATTAAATACGGGTGGAAAAGCCAAACTGTTTGTGGAAAGTATATAAGTGGATTCATAAACACACACGCACGCACGCACGCTCGCACACGCACACATACATTTAGACAAGCATGGGCTTCCGGGACATATTCTGCCCCTAGAAACCCCCGATAGTCCAGATTTATTGGTGGTTTCACTGGTTTGTTAAACCCTTATCATATGGCTACTGTAAGTAGTTGTACACACCTGCAAGAATGAAAGCACCTTTACCGACCAGGTAATGAGCCCAGTTGAATATCACTCTTCTTTCTGATCTTGGTCCGGGTCTGAGTAAGGCCATAAGCGGCTGAAAATACACAATAACATTTTTTTCTGATTGCGCTTCGATCTACTGAATCACTTACAGCTTATAGGATTCAAAAGGAAGCATGACAAAGTGTTACGCCAATCACAACATGCAGAAGACGATTCGTGCAAATTACTGTCTTTGACGTAGAAGTGAGTGAGTTTAGATTTACGCCGCACTCAGCAATATTCCAGCTATATGGCGGCGGTCTGTTTATAATCGGATTTGGACCAGACAATCCAGTGATCAACAGCATGAACATCAATCTACGCAACTGGGATACGATGGCATGTGTCAACCAAGTTAGCGAGCCTGACCACTTGATCCCGCTAGTCGCCTCTTACGACAAGCATGGGTTACTGAAGATCAATTCTAACCCGGATCTTCAAGGGTGCTTCAACTGACGTAGGAGGTACAATCTTTATAGTTATTTACAACCTTAGCATGCTAAATTGTGAGGAAGTTGGTCACCATGTTTGAATCAACGGTGGTCCGGGTAGTTTGCCATGTTAAACAATGTAATATACTTACATTTAGCACGACCAGAACTGTGACAATTATGCCCAGTATAGGATGCGCTTTTTGGGAGGTTTCCTCAGCCTGTGAAGGAAGGGGGTAAACTTTATCGAACGATTTGTTTTATTATCACTTCGTTTAGAGATTTAACATATAAGGACAAATAACCACCTTTTCTTCCCAAATTGTGCTTATAGCAAACCATTAAAAAGTAGATCCATATAGGGTGAAATTTTGTTTCTTTCCGACCCCACACCTTCACAGAAATCTCTGAGGCAAGGAGTAATATTTCAATTACACGTGATGCTGCGTAACATATCATCATCACCATCATCGTCGTCACCATCATCATCATCATCATCATCATCATAATTCCTAGGTCAAAGAAGCAATTGTACTAATGACAGTATTTAACTGTGTATGGGATAATCGAAATATGACATGGTCATCATCATCATCATAATTCCTTAATTCCTAGGTCAAAGAAGCAATTGTACCAATGACAGTATTTAACTGTGTATGGGATAAACGAAATATGACATGGTCATCATCATCATCATAATTCCTTGGTCAAAGAAGCTATTGTACCAATGACAGTATTTAACTGTGTATGGGATAATCGAAATATGACATGGTCATCATCATCATCATCATAATTCCTTGGTCAAAGAAGCTATTGTACCAATGACAGTATTTAACTGTGTATGGGATAAACGAAATATGCCATGGTAGAAGCATTGTTACCTCGGTATAACCTTCAACCTCCACAAAGATCAGAACAAAAGCGATGATAGTTACGAGCAGGGTGCCGGACATACAAGCGCGGTGAACCTGTGAAAAAATGTTAAATATCATCATTATTATCATCATCATCATCAATCGGCGGTGGCGGCGGGGTAGTGGGGTAGCCAAGTGGTTAAAGCGTTCGCTCTTCACGTCGAAACCAGAGTTCGATTCCCCACATGGGTACCTAATCGCCAGTACCCGGATTGGACTCACCCCAGAGAATACTACAATCTTTGTTTGTTACATTTACTCATATGGGGAATAGAATCCGCTCGCCACGACGAAGACCCGGGTTCGATTCTCCACATGGGTACAATGTGTAAGGCCATTTCTGGTCTCCCCCGCTGTGATATTTCTGGAATAATGCTAAAAGTGGGTAAAACTAAACTCATTCACTGTAAGCATTAATGGTTGTAATGTCTGCACTCCAGAATAATAATGTGAATCGTGTTCTGCACACCTTCATTCTAATGGCTAGACCCGTCCATTTACATAATCGAATCCTATCAAAATATCCTTCACAATGGCAACGTAAATACAATACTGAACAGATGTATTCACTATGCTAACAATACCTGCACGTTTCAGCTTTAGCGTATCGAATCACGATAGCAACCTTGGGACAACCCGGATCGTAACACTGGGCTGTGCGGTGCATACTGCAATTGTACCAAGTCGTCTTCTTGATAACGCGCGCGCGCATACAATACCCTTTATTATTGGTTACACAGTCATAGACACTAATGGAAATTGCAAACCAGAAAATTTTATATCCTTGACACCATTGAGCTCACTCTGTATTTCATAATTACATATTCGTTATAACCTAAAAGCATTTGGAATTCAGCCGAAATAATAAAATCTGGTATAATCTTCCTTTTAGAGAAACGTTTATTTCCTTGACACGATTGACTTCACTCTGTATTTCATACTAACATATTCATTATAAACTAAAAGCATTTGGAATTCACTCTGAATTAATAACCTGATATTATCTTTCTTCAGATAAAATATGTTCATTGGCATAAGTGACCGAAAATATCTGTCTCTAACCAAACTCCCAAATTGCATTCATATATTTTCACGTAGATAGTATCCATATTTGCTTAAAAACAGAAGATGAAATGTCCAAAGCGGAAAGACGTTGCACCTGGTTCTGAAACAGAATTCTCGTGACAGTTACCTGAAACCATATGTTGGCTCCGCCGACGGTTTTGTCCGGCCACATGAGCTTATAGTACCTCGCAATGATCATCCCCACACTGGACAGAAGTAGCCAGGCAACAGCCATCAAGCTCCCTGAAAATCAGAATATCACATCATGGAATATAATCGTTTTGGTGTCTCTGTCGCAAAGAGACTTATTGATCACAATCAGAACATCAGAACATTGAATGTAATCATTTTGGCCCTAAATCTACAATCTTGTATGAAACATGTAAACTTTATAGATTGCAAAAAAAAGTTTGAGATTTACATTATCGGAATATGAGGCTGAACTCACCATGAGCCTTGACGAGAACAAATTCAAGAGTTATCGCCCCATTGACCGAATTCGACTGAAGGTCAATCACAACAGAAGACACCGTCGGAAGGGCGCCATGTTTGCTTTTTGAAAAGCCTGAAATAAAACTTCTTGTGAATAAAATGTAACACACACACAAGACACCTGTTCAACGGATGAGGCCTATATCTCCTCGCACAGTGGTTAGAGTATTCGCACGACACGCAGAAGAGACTCGGGTTCGATTCCTAACGATAACAGTGTTTGATATCTATGCTTGGATTTACCTCGTTATATGGCTGGGATATTCTTTATAAGGCGTACAGCGTCGCTCTCTTTGCATGCACATGACAAATAGATCAAATGCAAATTGTATTAAGTACACACAGCGTTTATAGCTACATGACGTCATTATTGGCGGCTCCATGAAATACAGACAAAATGTCGAGTTATATACTACCTGCATTTATTATACACCCATGACGCGACTGTATATACAGTATACTACGGTTATAGCCAACACAAAGGGCGACTATTTCGTTATAACCATAGCTCATGCATTCGACTAAAATAAACAGCAAGTGACCGGGACCCTAGACAGTTCGATATATCCGTCAGTTCGTTATAAACGGAGTTTACTGTAACTGTATTGATATATTAGTTAAAAAAGTATTTATTACGTGTGACAAGATATATTCATTTAATGGAGGGTTAGTGAGTGCGTTCCACGCCTCCTTGACCAGGATATCCTCGATTGTAAGTTTGATGTTTTAGAAAAGCATGAACTTATGCAGGTCACAGGCGTTCACTGCAGGGGAAAACCTACGATCAAGGGTGTTGTACTGACAAACTTCGAAACTAGATCAGGCGTAAGGACACCACTACCATTCAGGTAATGCAATGCCTAAGGGAGGCAACTCTACATGGTGAATTGTGGCGCCTTCAGACCACTGGACCATCCATGTCAGAAAACACAGATAATCTATCTCGGGGACACCATACAAGCATAAAATCAGTGGGAATTCATTGTGTCCACTCAGTCTTCCAGATTCTGTGGCGTGGTTGCCATGGGAACGTGAATGTATATTTGGTGGAAAAGATGTAGAAGGGAAGAGATGGAGGGAAGGTGACCTACCAGCACTCGCCACACCTTGTGCTGCAAACAGGTTATAGTCCTGTGTAAGGTTGAAGGAATTAGGGTCTGGTGTACCCCCAGTCTCGCGGAGGAAGCTGCAGTCGAATACGCCGTTGTTGACGGAACCACTGACGTCGCTGATGCCAGCCTCGGGCTGAAATATGTACATCACAGTCACATAAAATCTGTGTTGGGTAGGTTGGGGGTTAGAGTGAGGTTTACAGTTGCGTTCATGATTATTTAACCTTTGTGTCCGTGTCCGTGTGCGCGTGCGTATGCGTTACTCCTAGGCAATCGTGTAACGTATTTTGGTACAACGCGACCGGTGACCGGGATTCAAACCACGGAAACGCTATGCAGACGCTCTATCCACCAGGGTCCAAGGTGGTCCCTGCGACCTTGATTTCATTTGTGGGCTCTGCGCTTTCTGAATTTTCATTTTCATAATATTTCCTGCAATCAGCATTAAAGGTCACATAAACCCTAGGGGGTACAAATACATAAATCACTAACTGGCATCGTTATAAATGAAACCCCGTCATTAAAACTACTCATTTCGACCTTTAATTGACTTAAATCGACCTTTTTGACAACAGTGCACAATTCTCACCCGCGAACGAAATTTCAACCAATCAGAGCGGCGCGCCTCTGTGACGTCATATGAGGAATAGCTTTGAGAGCCGATGCAGAATTCATCTACATTTTAGGGGGTAAATTATCGTGTTTACAGGCTTGTATAAACCTGAAATCGAGACAATTGTTGTGGAAAATGAAAGCTATATGTTCTCACAATCTACTGTCATTTAATTTTGTCTCCTGCTTTGCCCTGGTTTCCGAGTTACAACTTGTTTTCATAGACGATTCTGTCAAAATCGATTGGTGTCGTTAGGCCCTATTTGTATAATGACTGATCCAAATTGATCCCATTTCTGTGTTGTTTTACCTCGATATTTAATCATGTCATGTAAAATCTGTTTGTATTCTCAAAACAGTGTCGGCCCATAAGTTTTCACATGCAATACAGCAATTAATACTCCCTCGTTGTAACCCGTGTTAGGTGGTATAAACCTACACATGTTATTTGTCATCATTCACTTGATGGTCAGTTAATGAATTTATAACAGGTATAATTAGTGGTAACACCACTTAGATTACCCGACAAAGGTTCCCATTTGGCATTTCTTGTGTCTGGAGTAAATATTCAACATTATAAACATCGATCAAAGGATTAACCGATAACACGCTGATTGATTAATTACTTTTATCTTACACAGCGGAATTGTCAAAAAGGTAGTGTTTATGTATGTAGATTTACTAATCTATACTGAATACACTCTGTCGTGTCGGTGTCTGCGTAAAAACAACGTCCTTCTTTCAAAGGATTAACCGGCAATACATTGATTGATTGCCCATTATTGGCTAACTAAATTACTGTTTTTAAAGAAAGGCGGACATTATGCAATAAGTTGCCAGATGTGCTATCTTGGGTGACCAATGAGACTATACACCAATACCTGAAAAGATTTATCACTTTTTCGTATATTAAACTGTTAAAAGACACATAATTTGGAACAGTTTTGTGGATATTGATGGATAAATTCCTCGAACAAGGTAATGGCCTGATATTGTTCCTATAACTTTAATCTGTTTTAATTTTAATATTTGCATTTTGTTTTTATTCATTTGTCGTAGCATTCAACAGAATCATTGTTTTCTCCGTGAAGTGTAATGAGACAGACAACATGCACTAGGGTGTGTGTGCGAATTATGATTCACATTGGCAAACTATAAAATGTCTAGATATTACAGTTCTGTTATAAATTCACTATAAGTATCAGCAGATCGTCTGCTTTTTTTATTTAGTTTCAAAATGCATACAAGTTTGATAATAAACTAATGAGGATTATAAGACCAAATATAAAGACGCACATTGACTAGTATCTACATACTGGTGAGTGGACATTAACCATTGGAATGTAGCAAGAAATTTATCGCGCAGTATTGTCACTTCGACCCCCACCTCGCTTCCGTGGAAGAAATCGTTATGTTATAAGTTGTGTCATGCAAAATCCGTTTGGTTATGATTCCAATACATATTTAACAACGAGTAGAAAGTAGTCTTGATTTTCTAACTTCATGTAAACAAACTATAATCTCCTTAATTCTAACAGATTTTTTTATTTTTAAAAATGGCGGCGCGCCCTGTCGGGAACATCCGCCAGTCTGAGGATAAATGCTATTTAGGTTTGTTTTTCACCGAGTTACAAAATCAAAACTACTTTCTACTGGTAGTAAAATATGTATTTTATTGATGGCCAATAGGATTTTGCATGACATAGCGTATAACATGACAATTTCTCTCCTGGCAGCGAGGTGGGTGTCAATATAATACTACTTACAGTATTATTGTTACTTCGACCACAACCTCACTTCCGAGGAAGAAATCGTTATGTTACAAGTTGTGTCATAGAAAATCTTTATGGTCATCAATCATATGCATATTTTACTACAACTAGTAAGTAGTTTTGATTCTTTAACTTCCGTGAAGCGATCTGAACACAAGTAGGATATCTTTTCAGGCTTCCACAACGCTCGCTTCGCACTCACAAACATAACCCATTTCGCACGAACTGCGGGGTCCTGTGGAAATCTGTGCATGGGGACACCATCGCCCGACCCCCTAGGAGCAATTGACGACAAAGCAACGATTCGGCATGTCGTCGTTGATGTCGAGAAATCATCAAAATGATGAGCGTGCTACACATTTTCTATACAACTAACTGAAAATCGTTCCTCATATGACGTCACTGCAGTGCTCTGGCGACAGAGTTACGTAACCTGTCTGTGGTTTCGTTGGCGGGCGAGAGGGAAGCAGGCGACTTTTTGGCCACTTTTAATCGCTCGGTATTAATTAACCACAAGTTTTTAAAGAATAAATTTGGTGTTCCGCATAAGACTAACCACAAATCTTTCATATGTAATGGTTAAAAGAGTAACAAAAAACAAAGTTTAGTGGTTCTTTAAGACAATTGTTTTTACCGAATATCATAAAACATGATGTATTACAATCATTTTAAAAAACTGGTTTTGGAAAATTCTTTCCCAATTTTGTTTATGAATAGATACTGACATTGGTTAGTCTTGAATTGGAGTAGCCGGCGTTGAAAGATTGGAACGCCTTGACAACTCCGCCAAAGACGACACACTCGGCGACACTGTCATCCCCCTACAAGAAAACAATTCTTTAAGTGTATTGAAATTTTTGTACCGTGAGGAACCATGTGTTTGGATGTGTGGCTGAAGCCGGACAAATGCTCGTTAAAAAAAACTATTCTGGTTAATCATGTGTGCACATAAATCAGTGACGTCACGATCAGGGGTGCACATAATAATGATTCAAACGTTTTCTCCTGATATATATATAACAAAAGATAAAATATAAAATATAAAATCTGCTAAAGCGATTTAACAGTTTTATAATTGATAACCATCACTCAGTACAAGTACCATAGACATGTCATTGGAGAATCCAAGGGAAAAGTACGAGTTCCCGGATGAGAGGGACTTGAACCGGAACCTGAGGTTGCTCCCCTCTGTAGCCCACGTGACCGTGAATGTGCAACCAGTGTCGCAGTTGTCGAAGCATCCTTTTGTTTTTCCACACTCGGGGTCACGTGAAATGCCCTAAAAGCAAAAAGAGAGAGTGAGTATTATTTTACGCCGCTTTCAGACATGTTCCAGCATACATCAAGGCGAGGGACACACGACATGGGCGTCACTAATTGCGTCCATGTTGGGAATCTAACTCGGGTTGACAAGAGCAAAAAACAATGAGGATATGACTGAAGATAACATTTTGATTTACACCTTACCGATATTTATTAAAAATGGTTGTGTGCTTTCTTAAATCGTGACTTAGGCACCAATAATTACAAAGTCACGGTTATTTATTCCATATTCTGTAAATACTTGAGTGAGTGGGTATGGTCTTACGCTGATTTTAGCAATATTCCAACAATATCACGGCGGGGAGCACCGGAAATGGGCTCTACACATTGTACCCATGTAGGGAATAGAACCGGGTCATCAACTTGAACCACTGGGCTACCCAACCACACTCTGTAAATACCTTACATAATTTATAATACCGCAGGTATATTTTACGAAATTCTTCGAGGCCAAGAAATCGGAATACTAGGCCTACTTCAGGCCAGTGAAAGGTATAGTCACGATTGCATTTTGCATGCAAAACACATTGTGAAAATATAACGTACGAAACGGATACTTTCGACCGAAAAAGCTAGTACTTAGCACTTTACTCCATATTTGACAAAAAGCAGTTAAAATAAACATATTCTGCGATATACACACAGCGGAAGGCGCCGAAGGGGTCGTCGCTGAAATCGACTCCGTGGTCGCTCCTGTCGTTGATGTGCAAGGCGCTATTGTCGCCGTCATCAGTGACGCTTCGGAGACGCTGAGCCCAACTGCCGTGGAATCAGTCAGAACGGCCGAGGTCACCCCGACCCAGTAGACCACCTTAGTCTTCACAAACGTCGTCCTGTAAAGAAATGAATGAGAGGTATAAAATGACCAAGAACATCTCTCTACATGCTGCAACAAACCGTCGTGTTGAGAATCGAACCCGGGTCTTCGGCGTGACGAGCGAACACTCTAACTACTAGGCTACCCCACCGCCCTGGAATAGAGCTAAACGTACGCTACTTACGTCTCGACGTGCATGACATGGGGTGGGGTGTTTTTTTTGTATACGTGCGTGCGTGTTGCTTTCACTAGTGCTAGCCCAATTAAATATACTGGACAAAAAAAGTTAGGGATATTAGTATTTTTATAATTGATATTTTATCAGTGTGTCAATGAATAAATAGATCATTATTCATAATTTCAAAATTTACATATATCCCTAACTATTTTTGTCCAGTATATACGTATACCCCACTCAGACATAGTATACTAGTCCTTGCTTCATCCCCTTAACGCCGAGCACCAGACAAGGTAACTACAAGTACCATCTTTTAAAGTCTTTTTGCTGGACGCGGCCGGGGGATCGAACCATGATCCTTACACACTCCAGGCAGACGCTCTATCCAATAGACCACGGAGGCGGTTTATATGAGGACCAGGGAGTGGCTCAGCGGTGGGGTAGCCTTATGGTTAAAGCGTTCGCTTGTCAAGTCGAAGGCCCGGGTTCGATTCCCCACATGGTTGCAAGGTGCGAAGCCCATTTCTGGTGTCCCCAGCCGTGATATTACTGGAATATAGCTAAAGGCGGCGTAAAACCCAACTCACTCGCTGTAATTATCACACAGCGTCGATCGATACTTATGTTTTGTGTAACTTGTTTACCCGATCTATTATTTAAACCCGCTGTTTAAAGATGGCGCTGAACAGCAATCTCTCACTCACTCATTCACTCTCACCTGAAGATTATGTGCCCTGTGGCAGGAGTAGGGGCCGTCCATTGCAAAGTCAAACTGGATTTGAGGTTGCTGTTGGTGTGTGTCAACCCACGCTGTGTCTGTAAGATAGAAGATCTTTCTCATTCTAATAAAGCATCATTCTCTTCCCACAGAGGTTACTTGTCATTTCTTCCTACCAACCTCTGTTCAAATACGGTCATATTTCCCGGTTCTCGTAAAATCCCCTAGCGGCAAAACATCGCAACACGAATTATCTCCATTCTTTCTGTCCAATCAGAACACGTGTTACATCAACTTGACTAATACAAGCAAATGTTGGGTCACAAATATCCCTCCTCTGCCAGGAACTTGTGTTGATGTGACACACAAGACATTTAATGGCTAGCTTGTCCGTTGTAAACGAGGGCGATGGAGACGCCGTTGATCCGCCATTTACATGACTGAGTTCTGTCTATAAGAAACGTTTGCGCATCGCGCAGGGAAAGAGGTTCTAGATTTCCCGAAGCATACGGAAATAACCGAGGCCTTGCGAATGATCACTTTTGAAACAACGTCGCTGATTGCACAACTAAATCTGATTGCAACCAATCACGAATCCTGAACACTCGCACCATGAAAGGGCCGCATTAGAACAGAGGTTCGTAGGAAGATATGACAAGTAACCTCTGTGGGAAGAGAATGATATAGCATACATTCATTCCGTTTTGTTGCTCATCTGGCTGACAAAGTCACCAGTTATTTATACAATGTAAACCTGGGCCCAGACAAAGCCTGCGCAGTGGTCCAGTGAATCCAAGTTGGCGTGCTCCATACTAAGATAGCTGTATAGGTGCTGTCATTCTTTTGAGAAAGCTTAGTTACAGAAATAACCGTGACAATATGTATCAATCTTTTACTTTTATCACGATTCATGTCGATTTTTAAAGGCATTTAGAAGTCGGACGAACATGAATACATGTCGCGTTCTATGTTTAACAACTTCTTTTTTGTCCAAGATATTTTTATGGATTAAACTTCTTTTTAATTTCTCTCACGACGTTTCGAGACCATTCCAGGTCCCTTCATCAGGTGAACTCAGTTTAATCCATAAAAATATCTTGGACATCAATGTACAACTTCTAAATGCCACTGAAAGACAACTTCTTTTTTATTTACGATTCATGTCCTTGAATTTACCAAAACAGCGTTATTAAAACCCCAGGGAGATCCCTTAAAATCGCTATATGTGTTCACTGGAAAAGTCATCACATTTACTTTGAGTGTGCACGTGCATGACCTTTCAGCAGCTGTCTGTTTCCTAGTCTTTCATTCACCTGATGAAGGAGTAAGAATATACTCCCTCAAAACAAAGAAGTTGACATCCATAAATCCTCGCCTATATGGGTACATCACTTCTAAATGCCGTTCAAAAACAGAAACTAAGACTTCGAACTACGAAGACACGAGTGCTTGCAGTAAGAGCGAGGGGAGCGGGAATTATCTTCTCCATTCGGAACTTCACGTTCGCGTTCTTATTCGAGGTACAGAAGTCAGTTATGCTGCTCCGAATAAGAATGTTAAGGCATCTTAGGTTTAAGTATTTGGGGTATTGTTCCTTGGGTTAATTTCCGACAAAAGTGAAAAAAACATAATCAGGAGTTTGAGGAAACAGAAAATTCGGAATCAAGATAAACAGTTCTTCCGTAACTTACAGCATCGCCGTTGTTGCATCGTTGCTGGGAAGTTGAAGCGTCGACGGAGGTGAATTCTCCTATCAGCTCATTGTTGTCTACTGTGGGATCTGCCCGTCGTGCTTGAATCAGGAACCCTTTGAACTGCTCCCCGCATCGCCCCTCCAGTGTCACTGTGTGGAGATTTCAGTGTTAACGGCCATGTTTCATGTTTAACCATGATGGTATCCGTATACTATAGGGCGCTTGGGTAGCCTAGTGGGTAAAGCGTTCGCTGGTCACGCCCAAGACCCAGTTTTGATTCTCCATGTGTACAACGTGAGAAGCCAATTTCTGGTGTCCTTGGTATTGCTGGAATAGTCCTAAAAGCGGTGTAGAACAATACACGCCCCATGTACCTTATAATCCTATATACTCTCCGAAACCAAGAATTAGTTTCATCCCGATTTACCCTCGTGGCCCTTTTACCCGACTGCCCATAGACCCTGTGGATATTCTAGATGGTCTCTCAACTATACTTTCTGACTGCCCATAGACCCTGTGGATATTCCAGATGGTCTCTCAACTATACTTTCTGACTATCCATAGACACTGTGGATATTCTAGATGGTCTCTCAACTATACTTTCTGACTATCCATAGACCCGGTGGATATTCCAGATGGTCTCTCAACTATACTTTCTGACTATCCATAGACCCGGTGGATATTCCAGATGGTCTCTCAACTATACTTTCTGACTGCCCATAGACACTGTGGATATTCCAGATGGTCTCTCAACTATACTTTCTGATTATCCATAGAACCTGTGGATATTCCAGATGGTCTCTCAACTATACTTTCTGACTATCCATAGACACTGTGGATATTCCAGATGGTCTCTCAACTATACTTTCTGATTATCCATAGACCCTGTGGATATTCTAGATGGTCTCTCAGCTATACCTTCTGACTATCCATAGACCCTGTGGATATTCCAGATGGTCTCTCAGCTATACTTTCTGACTGCTCATACACAGTACACTTGGATCCAACTTACCCTGGATTGTCTCCCCTGCTGTGTATGTAGTTTTGGACGTCAGTACCACGAAAGGAGAGTCCGTGGTCTGTGCGGTAGTGGTATGGCTGGGTTCTAAGCTCGCACAAGAGCTAGTTCCAGCGCCGTTGCTGTATGCACGTGCTTCACGTGCAAACACCAGCACTAACAAGACGATGCAGCAGGGGCGCGGTGAAAGCCTTATGGTTCTCATCTCTGAAATAGACAAATAGACAGACATCCGACATATGAGTAAAAGAACAAATCTTTATTGATTAATCTTAAAAGGGTAAACTCGTCAATACATGACGAGAGGAGAGAAGGCATGATACGTCAAGATGGAAACGCAAGTTTATGCACAAATTGCTGAAAAGAATTACTCATTAATAAAATGGATCCATCGTCGCAACTAAACCTGCCTACATTCCACACGCCCCTACAAACGAAACCAGGAGTGAGTGAGTGAGTTTAGTTTTACGCCGCTTTTAGCAATATTCCAGCAATATCACGGCAGGGGACACCAGAAATGGGCTTCACACATTGTACCCATGTGGGGAATCGAACCCGGGTCTTCGGCGTGAAGAGAGAGCGCTTTAACCACTAGGTTGCGGCTTGACAGATTATAGTTTTATTATGTAGTTTACAGACATCTATATTCTGCTGTCCTAATATACGCTGAAGAGATTAAGAGATATGCATTCGTTTAGGTGTATCTTTAATATAACAACGATGAATATTTTTTTTTTATTCTTGTTTTATTACTAAATCTGGGACAGATAATCCTGTGATTATGGATATGCACTTTTGGGATCTGAGACGACCATCCGATCTCATCAGCAGCGTAGGCTGCTGAAGACCAATTCTTACCCCGAACTTGACAGAAAGGTCTGTACTGAGAGGTCACTGAGTACAAGCAACCCCAGGTTTGAGAGGTCACTGAGTACAAGCAACCCCAGGTTTGAGAGGTGTGAGAGGTCACTGAGTACAAGCAACCCCAGGTTTGAGAGGTCACTGAGTACAAGCAACCCCAGGTTTGAGAGGTCACTGAGTACAAGCAACCCCAGGTTTGAGAGGTCACTGAGTATAAGCAACCCCAGGTTTGAGAGGTCACTGAGTACAAGCAGCCCCAGGTTTGAGAGCAACCCCAGGTTTGAGAGGTCACTGAGTACAAGCAGCAACCCCAGGTTTGAGAGGTCACTGAGTACAAGCAACCCCAGGTTTGAGAGGTCACTGAGTACAAGGTTTGAGAGGTCACTGAGTACAAGCAACCCAGGTTTGAGAGGTCACTGAGGTACAAGCAACCCCAGGTTTGAGAGGTCACTGAGTACAAGCAACCCCAGGTTTGAGAGGTCACTGAGTACAAGCAACCCCAGGTTTGAGAGGTCACTGAGTACAAGCAACCCCAGGTTTGAGAGGTCACTGAGTACAAGCAACCCCAGGTTTGAGAGGTCACTGAGTACAAACAACCCCAGGTTTGAGAGGTCACTGAGTACAAGCAACCCCAGGTTTGAGAGGTCACTGAGTACAAGCAACCCCAGGTTTGAGAGGTCACTGAGTATAAGCAACCCAAAATTACACAAAACCAATATTTTCCAATTGACTTCTGTAGAAACGTTTTGATTTGTTTCTAATTAACTAAGCCTTCAACAGCTATTGCATGTACATGTCTGCATAGTCTAGTCTTAAAGTAAAAATTAAAAAAATTTAAAAAATTAAAAATGACTAACTCAACCAGTTCCTAATACAGGAAGCTAAACAGACTAGCCCCAGTTTCGTACAAAATGACACCCGCTTGTATGTATCGGTGGTCATATTCAGAATAAGTCATCATAAGTTGAAATGTCAGAACTAAATATTTGAAAATATAGTAACTTTTAATTAGGTGGATGTATGGATGTATATTTTTTTTAAAAAATTAAAAATCTTGTAACACAATCTTGTAAAATAACATCCAATCACAGCTGTCAAATGATTCAGTTTGCTCCCATGGTCCTACAAAAAGTGTTTAAAATCGCCATGCGAAAAACTGTTGCAATCACGTCAAGTTGTATGCCTGGGTTCAGCATCACATCGAGATTCCCTCCAACATTAAGCTGAATAAGTGATGAAACGGGAATTAAACCCATATCACTCATTCACTCACCTGCAGGGAGATGAGACTTACCGTTTGACTTTACCCGTGAAGGTCCGGGTTAGAATTGATCTTCAGCAACCCATGCTTGTCGTAAGAGGCAACTAACGGGATCGGGTAGTCAGGCTCGCTGACGCGGGTGACACGTGTTTGACACATTGGTTGGAATATTGCTAAGTTCGGCGTTAAACAACAAACCAACAAACAAACCGTGTGATTTGTTCGGTAACCACCACGGGTGAATATCATCAAACTATTACGAGGCGAGGCTGACCTCTCCGGTACAGTTCAAAACGATTCCGCCAGTACAACCCGATCACCAACAATAGACAATATTTATGCTATGTCATTCTTCGGTACCTCGGTAAAGCTAAATATAAAGCGGCGCACCATATCAGGGTTTCAAGTGCACTGGTTCTTGGTTGCTTGTGCACTGCATGAACGCATGTGGAATAAATGTGAGAATTCGGTTCCAGTAAAGGTCACAGCTGGTAAGTTTACTACCGTAAGTGCAGGGTCGGTTGGGTAGCCTATAGTGGTTAAAGCGTTCGTTCGTCACGCCGAAGACCCGGGATCAATTCCCCACATGGGTACAATGCGTATAGCCCGTTTCTGGTGTCCCTCGCCGTGATATTGCTGGAATATTGCTAAAAGCGGCGTAAAACACAACTCACCCAAACTGAGACCTAATTACTGTTTAAAGACAGCATAAACTCCAGTTCAGTTTGAATCGGGTTATTAAATAAGACTTGAACACATCTCCAAGCTCAGGTTTATTAATCCAAATTTGTCTCATACAGACGTGATTCCGTTTTCCAGTATACACACAAGTTTGCTGCATGTAAAAGCGGCGTAAAACTAAACTCACTCACTCACTTAGTGTAACGGGTGCGTTTTTTCATGACCCATGCTGTTACGGAAACATACAACCTGGCATTTCGAATTCGAATTTAAACGAAAGTACAGGATATGAATCTTACACATCGTTTAAAAGTCTTCTCGAAATGTCTTTTCGTAATATCGTCGGGAAAGTTACGATAGATTACATTTAGACTGGGTTTGTCAGAATTAATTATCAAAGAAGGAAGAAAAATAGGGATCGATGAAAATGAAAGGATTTGAAATGAAATGTAAAAATGTATACAGAATAAAATCCACTTTATCGTTATATGCCCTACTCTTAGTAACCTGAGAATTCTGTATATACAAGAAAAGTACTTAAATAAACCACCAGAAATTGCATTGTCTTCTTTTATGAACTCTAGAAAGGATGCCGACATTTTACACCTATCATTGTATTTAAAGCAAATAACATTAAGACATAACGCATTGGACATATTGTAAATTTATATCCATGTTGATGTAATGCGACATGTAACATCCGATTGTGTAAGTTACTGTGTATTTTGGCCGGAGACCTAAAAAAATACAATAAACGTCTGTTACTTCTTCACGAGGAGAAGAAAAAGACAGAGTAGGAGAAGAACTGTCCTTATAATATATATGGGTTTTCGGACACTTGTTGTTTTCTCGCTAGTAACATGAATAACTATTAAGTTTCTTTAAAAAATAATCTTTATCTAAAATTAATACAAGCTATTATCCGAGAATTTACTATCTACGTGCAAGGAAAACACAACTGCACAAAAACGTATGATATAAAAAGCATACTCCTGCGAGATATTACAATTTTGTGTCACATGTTGTATAATAGAAGATAGGACAGGTAAAACGATTAAAGAAATATCTCAAATAAATACAAGCCATTATCCGAGAATGTACAATCTACCTGTGACGCAACATCTTATTATATATAGCGCAAGGAAAACACTACTGTCCAAAAACGTATGAGATAAACACTAATATACTCCTACGAGATATTATAATTTTTTTGGTCACATGTTGCATAATAGAAGATAGGGCAGGTAAAAACGATTAAAATACAATTTGTGGGTCAAAGGCCTACAAACCACTTCCTGAACAATGTAAAATCACCAGGTGTATGGTGTGTTTTTTTTCAAATAAGAATAATTATTGTAATGCATATTTCGGAGACAAATAAAAAGCATGTGTGCTGAAGCCATGCATGGAGTCGTGTATCCGTTTTATGTTAACAAAACTAAGTCTGACAAAACGTGATGCTTATAATTAGGAGATAAAAATACTGTGTTGGAAAATCAGAGGTATATCACGAAATTATAATAGCTCTAAATTTGATTTAAAACTGAATGCGTAGCTATTTAGAGCTTTTATAATTTCGTTATATACCTTTCATTTTCCAACACAGAATGTTTATCTCCATTCTACCATAACCGCGTTATTAAGATTTAAAAAATATACATGCTGTGTTGGATTATATACCTCTGAATGACTTTAATTAACCAATCACAATCCAGTATTTACTGAAGTCATGGTAGAATAAACATCAATAAATGTCAAATGACAGCTTTGATTCTATAAGAAATCGATTTATTGTTTTATTACGAACATGATGATATGGTGTACTGTCAACTTGTAGCTGGGTGAGTATTGTTTTACACCGCTGTTAGAAATATTCCAGCAATGACGCGGCAAGTGACACAAGAATATTGTAAAATTCCTCGGATCAAACAGTCAGTCTCTAGTAATGAACGGGCAGATATCACAAAATACCAAGACGTGAACGGTTACGTCCGTTGTGTATTGTCCCAAAAGTTGAGGATGAATTCCATGTTTGTTTACTGTGTCCATTTTATTCAGATTTGCGCTCCAGTGTTATTCCACAATGTTACTACATATTCCCAACTCCGAAATATTGTCATTATGTTAAAACTTAATGTCTGTAATAAACTTGGAAAATACGTATTTCTTGCTTTGGAAAAAAGTATTCCCTTTTTAAAAAAACAACTTGTTCGGCAACATCGTGCATAGATTGCATTGTCTTGCTTATACCATATACTGTAAATGTATTATTTAGTCATGTTTGTACTCAGCATTCCTGTCAAATATTCGTTATCATGCTGGGGCGGTGGGGTAGTCTAGTGGTTAAAGCGTTCGATCGTCATGCCGAAGACCCGGGTTCGATTCCCCACATGGGTAAAATGTG